ATATATATATATATAAACATGTGTATATGTATATAAACATATATGTGCACATAGAAATATAGATGCGAGAATGTGCATAAGTTTGTATGTATGTATGCACAAGTGTCAGCAGTTATTCCGATCATTCGTCTGTCCCAAGTTTTCGACATGCGTGGCTATATCGTTGTTGTGGGGGGTACGAGGCGACGACGGGCGTCAAAGTCATGATCCAGGTGGAGAACAACACCAGAGGGAAGAAGCCACACAAAAGGCAGCAGGGGGCCACATCACTGGGACACGGGCACCCCCCGCACAGGGAAAAGCGGAACGCCAACACCACGAGTGCAGTACCAATTTCTCAATATAGCCATGGAACCCAACACAACGGGATGGGTCATTGAAACTGGAGACCGAAGCGCAGAACACCGGCACCGCTCCGCAGGGGCGGGATTGGAGACAAATAAGGCGACAAAACAAAGAACCACAAACAGGACCACAGGCACCAGGCCACAGTTGCCGTCCTGTTTGCAATTCAGTTGTTCACGTATTTGTCATTCTCTACTGGTTCAGTCCGTCGTGTCTTTATTCACATTTTTCCTGATTTACGACTTCCTTCACGTTCTTGTCCATATCTCCTCAATCATCTGCCGGAGCAAAAGCCTGAGGCCAGCTCCGGCTGCGAGTAGAGAAGCGGCACAAAGCTGGGATCCACCAGGACGTCGATGACAAGTTGGATGGGCCTCCACACCAAGGGGCCGCTAGGGAGTAGCTCATGGCCCGGGAGACCCGCAGTCCTACCTGGGCTCCTTTATGCAACCATGGCATCATCGGAGCTACTTCGGTACAGGGCTCGCGGCTTCGATGCGAGGCCCAGGATGAAGTCTTCACCCACCTGCCCAGGTCGAGGCTCCACCACCAAGGCTTCAAACTCCGAATTGCAAGGCTCCGCTTGCAGCAGACGGGCAACTTCGCTCAGAACTCGTAGTGTCGATACAAAAAAACATACCCAGCTGGTCACCGCTTTCCAAGTCCGAGACGGCATGCAAGGCGACCGAGGCCAGGATGCCGGGCACGAAGGAAAGGCACTCCGTGCCTCGTGGAAAAGCAAAAAAAAAGACACCAAAGAAGGCAATCGCATGCAATAGTTTCGGTTTTTGTTACGGGGTGCTGGCTTCGCATAGTCTCCTTGCTGAGAACGCCCATCACGGCGGGCCTTGTGTGAAGTCCAGCTGCTAAGTACCCGGATAACAGTGGCGCTGGCAGTGGCGCTGGGCACGGGGCAGAACGTTCGTTTCTATCAGTTGCGGCACTCTGGAGGGGTCCTCGGTATCTCGCTACCAGCAGCTTTCAACCGCGCCCTCACCACTGTCCGGCACTCGCTCAATTCAGGCAGTAGCATCTTGGATGACGCTCGACACGATGTCAATTGCTGTGCCAAAGAGGGACAATCCCACTCTCACAGGCGCCTCCGGGGAAATCGTGCTCCGGCAAGCTGGGAAGGTACAAGACAATTAGAAGACTCGCAAGACTCGCAAGCACATATGTTTTTTGGTGGCAAGGCAAGGCATGGCGTCAATCCCCGGCCTTCACTGCGACCTTCAAGGCATCCATCATGGGACCCTGAAAGATGTTGGCGAGGCCAGCCTTCAATATCAGAGCAAAAATCTCGGAAAGCTGCTTCGAGTTTTAGACAGATTCCGACCTGCAAGACTTCCGAGCACTGCAGCGCTGTCTGGATGTTCTTCAACCTAAGGCTCCAAGACGCTCAATCCCTCTCGTAGGCTTCAAACGCTGCCCCCTTCCCCTGCGAAGCTGACAATCTGACTGGTTCTGACAGGCAGGGACTCGGGCAGCTGACGACAGAGCCGTCTCCTAGCGGTCATTTCCTCCAGCAGCGCTCGAAACCTGCAGGAAACAGCTCAGCTCTGGCAAATTTTGGATGTTGCAACTTGCACAGTTGGAATCAGTTGGAGACAGCTCACCTCTGCCGCTCCTCGGGTGGTGCCGTTGTAGGCGGCGGCTCCATCTCCAAGGCCTTGCGTAGGGCGGCGAATGAGTCTCGTGAAAATTCGTCGGCCCCTTCCAAGCGCCCATCATCGCCGGTGAATTCCAAAACCTTAGCCGAAGCAGAAGACCGTGAAGGAATCGTCTCCGTCCCTCCTGGCCCTCCAAGGCCCTCCGAGGCTTCGGACCATCAGGAGCTCGACTTCTCGCTGCAGGCGCAAGGAAAAGGCCTGCGCCGCAGGCTTTCGGGCCAGCTCTCTGGAGCCCAGCATCTGCACTTCTCTCCTAACGCCACCCGAAAAGCTCAAAGGGGCCTTGTGAGGCTGCCGCGTGCGGCGTTACTACCAAGAAAATGAGAACGCTCGACAGGAACCTACGCCTCGCGCTCCCGCACCACTCAGTCCCCGAACAGTACCCTTCTGCTGGGGCATTGCACCCAACCCTAGTCGGACACTGGCAGGACTTGAAAGCGAATACCAAGCCGGGAGGAGCCGCCACAAGGAAGACTTGTAGACGAAATGCAGTCCCAATCTGCGACTGATGCTTCACGCTCTATGCTGATGAAGAGCACCTGGAGGCCGTTGAAATCACGAAAGAGCACCAAAGCTGCTGTGCTGGAAACCTGGCAGGGTGTCAGCCGCACACAGGCAGAAGAAAAACACGACATCTTGGAGTCATGTTACGGCAAAGTCAGAGTTTCTGCTGGCTCTGACAAAACATGAGTGTTGAGCCTTTGATAGCATTTGACATGATCTCAAAGAAGAACACTTCCGCATGCAAGGAGCCTCTGCTGCGAGCTCGAGACATCGCAGCATGGAAGCCACGGCTGCCAGCGAGGGGACCTTACAGCCGCCCGGGCTCACTCCACCCTTGGTCATAGGCCCTCATACGGCTTTCTGGGTCCCCGGCATCAGTCCTCTGCATCAGCTCCAGCATTGCAAGGATCATGCCGGCATGCCTGCACAGATCTGCGGTCAGCCCTTTCGAGATCTTCGCTCCACGTGAGCCGCGCATAGACACGCATCCTTTCTCAAAAAACTCACCCTCTTTGAGTTCATGCTTGAAGGGCGCCACAGTGCAGTGTCGGCGCACCCTAGTTGTGCAGAGCTCTGATGGTTGTTGACTGTGGTGATCTGGAAAAGGTCCAAGGCCTCAGTTGAGGGCGGTCGGACAGAACTTTCAAGGCAGCAAGATCGGAGGACTTGGTGCTCAGCCGCCGAGAGAACAGCGTTGTGGGCCTCTAACCTGTCACGAAGACCATGACGAAGAAATATGAAAAATGAAAGAGAGTGCGGAGTGCTGCACACTTCACCCCCCCCCCCCCCGCACACTGGTCGTCTGCTGGCCGGTGCCCGAGAAGGCCCCGAAGTGCCTGGAAGCTGCGTCG